TGCATTCAAACAATAAAATAGCTGAAAAGCATTAAAAAAGTGTCACCGTGATAATGAGTTTTAAAAGTGTTTTAGAGTCAGTCTGAATAAATTAGTTTTTAGCCTCGAAAACTCATTTATTCAGGGGGGCAACTTGTTCTGGAGTGTTTCAGCGATTGAGAAGGACTGGTGTTTGGACCTGGTCCTTGGTACTTCCAGGAGGAGTTGAAATGAGGATCTCAGTGATCTGTCCGAGTCACGAACAGTCAAACGTTCAGATAAGTACGTATGGGTGAGACCATTGAGGGCTTTAAAAACAAAGAGTAACATTTCAAAATGTTTCAAATAAACTCGAAACAAATCGGAACTTATCTTATCTTATACGGTGAACCCCTTTTCTTCATGTAATCACGTAAATAGGTCTCGGTACTGAAGCTAAAAGCAGTTTTAATGGCTGGCTCTATCTAATTATAAAGACGTTGGATCAGTGGCTAACAGGACAAAGTTGGCATGCTCTTGTTGTCTGCGTTCCCATGACAATAGACTCCACGCTGATCATTTTGATGCGCTGAGTAATAAGGTTCTTGAACGATATGCATAAGCAAGGTCAAGAATAAATTAACAAGTTTTAGTTTTTTGTATTCTTGCACCAACCCAAATCTGCATTCCCAGTTGGAGCCGATGCCAGGTTTGATTCAGCGTCCTAAGATGTCCACACAATGTTGAAACGTTTATAGCTTCAGAAATATTCTCTATAAACATGGAGTCTGCTCGGTAAATGTTTGCGTCCACATGAAGGAAGTCAATACGTCTGAAAACGCGGAGGAACTATGCCAGGCCTGTTGGTGGCGCTGTGACGCAATGGGATCAAGGCCAAGCTTTGTGAAGAGATTGAATGGTCGTGCAGAAAGTGTACTATTTACAGTGTACTGTTTACAAAACCGTTGAATTCGCCCACACAGATTAGAGAATCAAGCAGTTCAAACAGAAAACAGGATGGTATTTGTCCAGATGGCCAATGTTCATAAATGTTGTTGACTGTCGAGTACCGTGGATCATCACCTCAGTCCTCAGACTCTCCTGCATCAGCAAGAAAAAAACATTGTCATTTGGTTGGCATTGGAAGCCAGACAAGCCAGAAAAAATCCTTTATGATGAATAATAAAACATTTCATTTCATACAGCTCCTTTCTGGGCCCTCAAGGTCGTCTTACATAATGTACACAGGTTAAAAACATAAAAGAAGAGCCAAAATGAAATGAAATTGTAGGTTCACAGTGAATACACCTGGATGTGTTTTGAGTGTAGTTTGTAAATGTTAGAGTAACCTTGTAGCCCCCTGTTACTCAAGAAAAAGAAAAAAAAACGTTGCTGCCTCAGTCTGATTTCTACACACAACGCCATTTTTTACGTTTGACACCTGCCAGAAATAATTAGAGTAAGAAGACTAATTGGCACAAACTGATTAAGACGGGCTGGAGCGGAATGAGTTGGTTGCTTTGAAGATTTATAGAAAAGTGATGACTGCTGTTGTCATTTAGGGCTATGCAAAAAGGTTATTAATTGCCTGATGACAGTTTGGCACTTTACAGCCACAGCCGCCTCACTGTGGCACTTGGTGTTCTAGGAGGTCTCCCATCACAGTATCCCTCCCAATCCCAGTTGGAACAGGGTCTTCCTGAGTGGAGTTGGCCTGTTTTCTCTGTGTCTGCCTAGGTTTTCTCCAGGTGCTTCGGTATCCCCTACCACTAAAAACATGCACAATAGGTAAAATCCTCTAGCTGCGGTAAACTGAACATGATGGATTCATGACAGACGCCCTCGTGACATCAGCATGGGTCAAATGGAGAGGATGAGATGCCCTTCAGAGTAAAAATAGGACAACTTACATTCGCCTGTAAATGTAAAATTCACTAACCTTTCGGGATCCAAACAGCTAATCGATTCATCCAAAAACAATAACTAATTGATTGTTCAAATAATTCCAGCCCCTCTGTTAAACATCCCGGGCAAAGCATAACACATCCCCAGGTGGTGACCCATAAAAGTGTTGGAAGTTTGTTTTTATTGTTGAATTTGTCCTGTTTAACGATGCCAAATTTGAGATCATGTTTGGAAACTCTAGTCTTGGGTAAAAGTGTGCCATCTCTTTTGACAGCACAAGTCCACGGTGATGCCAGACTCCGTCCTTGTATTCCGGTTGTACGGAGGTTACAACATGGCAGCCGGAGGACTGTGCAATCTTGGCTTATGTGGAGCTTTGTCTATAAATAGCAAACACCGGGGGGCACTGAAATGGTGTATCTCGTCTTTCCACCCAGTCCTACACAGCAGAACTAATATCGATGTGTTTTCTCGACGCTCCAGTACAATTGAAGGTTGCATATTTCATTTCAATGGGCTGACATTTTCCATATCCAGTCATATCATTTTTTGCGTGTTGTGTACGTTTTCCCATGTGATAATGAGTTACCAAGCCCTCTTTTTTCTCCCTGTCACTTTGCATTAGTGGCTCTGCAAGCAAATGTGTATTCTTAACCATTTTTTTTTTACAGTTTTGTTTAATTTATCAAAATGGCCATTGAGGTGCAGTGGCAATTCTTCTGTGGCAAAGTCTCCTCCAAATCAATGCAGTCACCTATACATATTCATATACAGAATTAATGAAACACACACTTACATCCATACACACAATCACAGCAAATCAAAAAGTAAGAACAATTACAAACAAATTAATGAAAATAATAAAGTACCTAACAAAACACATTTAGTTAAGGTCATTGTATTAAGGCGAAGAACAGTTTATCGTTTGCTTCGGGAAAGAGCTTTTCTGAACGTCTGAATCAAATATAAGATTCTATAATTGTTGTTCATCTGTGGTTGAAGCACACATTGTTCCTGGTGTTTACTCTCGAGGGACTTCATTATGGAAATGAACTTGTGTTCGTTTCACCAGACATGCTTCCACCATTGTTCGTCGCCTTAATCAATGCTGGACGTGAAGCTTTAGCAGCTGCTATAATTATCATTTGTTAATATGTTTTTGATTGTGGATATGCCAGCAGATACAGCCGTCTTCACCTTTGAAAAGCACTCACACTTTTAAAAAGGTCACTTTTAAAGGTTGTTTTTATATTGCAAAACATTATAGCAGTGGTTTTATTGATTGGTCACACGAAGGAATTAAAAACAAAAGGTCTGAAGATGAACTCAGAAATAAATATAGGAAAGATGTAAGCCATAGTACCACGCGCAAACTGTATCTAAACGAGAATGTTTTGTGTATGTTTTGTCACATTGAAATGCATCGTTTTCTTCCAATCCTCTCAGGACGGTGGGGGGTCCACAGGAGGATGGTTGCTCTGTCAGAAATAGTGTAGCCTTGATCTTGGCTTCAGGCAAAGTGGGGTTGTCTTGCCCAAGGACACAACAACAACAGACAGGAGGCTTTGTTGTGGGGGAAACTAACCCATGACCTCCAGGCTCAAAGGCCAATGCTCTACCAACTAAGCCACCGTCGCCCATTGAAATATGCAGGAAATTATTTTTAATATTAAGGGAATAAAAGATAATTGATCATCAGAATCAGAATTATTTGTATTGCCTTTTTTAAATAACAGTAAGTAATATTTATTAATATGCCGCCTTTCACAGACCAGAGTCACAAAGCGGTTTACAATTGTTATTTTTTTGGGTATTTGTCTCTCACTCCACACAGAGATGGGAGCGGGGTTGCCAGTACAGGAGGCGTCAGAACTATTGTACATGTTTTTAGTGGTAGGGGAAACCGGAGCACCTGGAGGAAACCTATGCAGACACGGGAGAACATGCAAACTCTACTCAGAAAGGCCCTATTCTGACCGGATTTCGAACCCAGGACCTTCTTGCTGAAAAGCGAGAGTGCTATCTACTCAAAAAACTACTACTATATACAAGTGCACTTAGTGACATGGCAGTAGTGACAGTAAAGTGACAGTAGCATAAAATGACTTAAAGGGCAGGGGACAGTGATGAGTAAGAAACTATTCTAATGGCAGGAGCTTCTGGTCTGGAGTGGTTGGAATAGTCCATGTGCAGGTGAGAGGGGAGTGGTGGAAGGTTTTATAAAGTCCTCCAAGATAACTAATTTTGTGATTTAGGATTATACAAGAATAAATTGACAAACTCTGGAAACGTACAGGTCCTGCCGCGATGGGAGGCTGCGGCCGATCGATCACCCTCTCACAGCTGTAGTGTCTGCTTGTCCCTGACAGTGGACGATAAAAAGTGTAGGTTAAAAATAAAGACCTGCGATGTGTGCGGTCCTCCAGAGGCCAGACTGCGTCGCTTTGCAGCAGCACTCAGGACAGCGGGAGAGTGCAGAGGGACTTTTTCCAGAACTTTACAGGCCAAGAGAAAGAGGACTATATGGAGACTACGTGACAAATAACACCAGTCTGTATCATCTGCCCAGCACATTGAAGAGGAGAAAAATGAACCAGTCTGGACTATACTTTTATCACTTATTTTAGTCTATTTTATTACCTATGGCCGTGCAGTAAACCCCCTCCCCACCTTCTCAGTCCTTGTTTTACAGAGTGTTTCTCACTTTTTTACCACTGATGTTTTTTGAGTCGTTCTTTGCCGATGCAGGAAGTTATGATCCGAGACATTAATGGGCATTTATGAACATTTGTCTTCCCTATGGACCTAGGGGGCTGGTGCTCTATGTACTGGGTGACATCTCTGGCCATCCCCCTGACCCAGAAATGGATTAAGGGGTTGAAAATGGATGGATGGATGGACCAATGGCTCGTACGAGTTTGCTATTGACTGTTTTATTGATTTGGTGAATTGACAACTTTGTAAAGTCCTCCTCCTGCTGTTGTGATTTAGGGCTGTACTAAAATAAATTGCACTGAATTTAAACAATCATTTCCATTTTTATATCAATTCACATCTCCCAAAATATCTCTTATTTGCTATCGTTTCACCACACTTCTCAGTCCTGGTGCTGACCCCTCCTCTGCTCTGTCCCTCAGATCTCCGTGCCAGAACGGCGGCACGTGCACCGCGGTCGACAGCTCCCCGGCCTTCTCCTCGTGCCTCTGCCCCGCCGGCTTCTCCGGAGACTACTGCGAGGTGGACGTGGACAGCTGCCAGCCCAACCCCTGCCACCATGGGGGCACCTGCACCAACCACGGCCTGGCCTTCACCTGCCAATGTGCAACCAACTACACCGGCTTCACCTGCAACCAAACCGCGGGTCTCTCTCCCTGCGCCGGCTTGCCCTGCGCCAACGGAGGAACTTGTTTGGGCCAATCCGACGGCACGTTCCGCTGCGTCTGCCCCAAATGGTTCGCCGGACCCACTTGCTCCCTCCAGCACAGACCCAGAGTGCGCGCCAAGCCGGTGGTGCCGAAACCCATCGATCACAGGGTTTTCTCGCTCACGCCTCAACACTACTCTCTCCCGGCTCACGCCTTCCACAAGCTGCTTCGCCCGCCGGAGAGAGACCTCCTCAAGATCACGTTGAAGGAGAGCGTTCATTCGCAGGGGGTCCTGGTCACGCACGGCCAGCTGGTGTGTTTCGGCATGCTGGCCCTGCTCACCTGCCTGGTCATCCTGGGCACTACGGGAATCGTGTTTTTCGGGCGGTGCGAGGCGTGGCTTGCTAACGCCAAATACAGTCAGTTGGTGCGGCAGCAGAGAGAGCACCTGCTGAAGGACGTGGGCGGCGGCGACGGCGGTGGCCAAGAGGAACCAGAGCATTCGGTTAACATCATCCTCCCCGAGAAGATCCGACTGAGCAGCTTCGGACGCCACTACACCTCCATCTGAGGTCATTCAAACGTGATAAGATTTATTTTTATTTATTTTTTCAATTTATGTTATGTTTTAGTCTTTGTTTCCCATGGCAGAGCTGCTGATGTGAAAGAGAATTACAAACAGGCCATTTTTTTCAGACAGTGGTCATATCGCTCCCTATGGACCAATGGCTTCTATGTGTTTGTTATGAACCGTTTAATGCTGATCCATTGTCACCTTTAAAGCTCGGGTACCTAACTTTCAAACCACAAACTAACACAAACTACGGATTAAAAGTTCCTTACTCTATCGCTAGTTTTCACATGCATGTAATTTTTTTTGGCCTCTGTCACATCTTTAGATAAACTTTTTCAGACAGAAAAGTGACAAAGAGAGGACCGCCCTGGTTCTCAGCTCTCAGAGTCAAATAGTGACTCACAGGAGTAGTATACATGACATGGTTTCTAATGAGATTAAGCTTGTTGTGGCCTGATTTGTTCTCAACATTTCACAAGATTCTTTCTGTTAAGACATTGATTTATTTATGGCAGAACGATTTTAGATACCCCTGCTTTAATCATGTATTAAGAATTTAGTGGCTGATACAGGAGTGAATATGACTTTACTTCACATTTCAACCATGAGTATTTATTTTTTTATGTTTGTAAACATTTTGTATTTGGTTTTTCTTCTTCTTTTGAGCAAGAACTTTTGACTTTTAGGAAGAATATCTTGCCTCACAAACAAAAGGTGTTGTCTAAATTGAACCTTAAGTCTATTGGAGGTCAGAGAAAGATTATGGACTACACAAGCAACATCTAGAATAATCTTCTGATTTCAAATGTTACAGTATTTTATTTATTTATTTATTTTTTCCAGCATTAGTATTTGTTTCCCGTGGCAGAGCTGCCGATGAGATTTCCATAACTGTTGTGCAGTTGACCGTGATGCTGGACTTCACAGTATGAAACATGAATGTATGATTGTAGATCTAATGTAAATTATCAAAAACCATGTACCAAATATTAGTGCGATGAAGAGGATGTCATAATGTTGTATTTATTACCTACGATGCTGCCAACACACACACACACACACACACACACACACACACACACACACACACACACACACAATCATCTGTCTGCTTTTACAAGTCGCATTGTGCAGCTAATACAGTGTTTTTTGAATGTACAAGTCTCATATGAAGGTCTTTTTTGTCAGTATTCATCCTCAGTTTTTGAGCTCCGGAAGAAATCACACAGATAGTTCATGCGTTTTGGTCATTGGAATGTATAAGAAAAAAAACTACCGTACTTTCCGGACTATCAGGCAAAACCATATCAACTGTACAGCCTAAAATTTACAAGAAAATCTATTTTGTCCACATTTAAGCCGCACTGCAGGTTTTCATGTTGTAATGAAGCAGATAGACGACTGTTTTAACTGGTCACAACAGGATTTAAAGACCATGTCTATATTTTGACAATAAATGAGTTCACTATAGCTACTAAAACTTGATACTTGAGTCAAAATAATAAGCCCATAAACTCCACTCTGACAACTCTAAAATAATCAAAAATACACATATTAGCCTCATTGCCATATTAGCCGGCAGGGTTAAAAAAACTGGAAGAAATCTGCGGCTTATAGTCCGGACATTACGGAAATCAAAAGCAAGGTCATCATAAATCCAATATTGCTTTGCTCAAGTTCACTTCTGGGTGAGTCAAATCCCAAGCTGAACAAAATTATTGAAGTTTGCAGATTTAACTCCCAATGTAGAGACAGGCGACTCAAGATAGTGAGCAAGTTTATTTACTATGCGCAAGTTGAGAGGGCAGTGGAGGCCGACGCAGCTGGAGCATAAGCAGGAGACCCAGAGCTGACTGGAGATGCAGTGAAGGTGAAGCTGGCCCCGCCCCCTTCCACACACCTTTCCTGCAAAACTTATTGTTTTCTATTAAGATAAATGGTTAATCTTGTGCTCAGAAGTTTACCCCCCTGCCCTTTTCATTGCCATTTTTCAGACTTTTTGAATGGAGCAGAAAAAAGACGCTTTCCCTGTGTCACGTACATAAATGGACCTAAACAAAAATATTTAGGTTGAGGTTCATCTCTTATTTAACCTCATCCTATTCACAGAAATCAGTGATACACAACAGTCATGACAAACTCTGAAGTAGCAGTACTCAACATAATACAAATACACACACACCAGCAATTATCCTGCCTACATGTTTTCTCATGCAGGCCACCAATTGTTATATATATATGGCATTTGTCTAAAAGTGTATAGTTTTTGTATTGTGAATAAAACTGAATTTTTTTTAAGCATCCATACCGTTTCAAGCTGCACAGCCGTCTGTGCAAGTTCTCACTTTTACTTTCTGAGAGACAGATAAACCTTTGACATTACCTTCAATTACTCTTTTACGCTTCAACGGGCTAGGGCAGGGGTGTCAAACTCATTTTTGTTGGGGGCCGAAAAGTAAAAAAAATGTATCTGACATGAGCCTGGATGTTATTTTCTGGTCTGTTAGAAAAGAAATGGTGCCAAATATCAAGAAGAGATGTGTAGTAATAGCTAAGAGAGTTAGCTATCAAAAATATGTATTTCTTTTGTCCTAATTAGTTGAAGTTTTAGAACAGGTTAATTGATGTGATTGTTTTCCTGAGACAAAAGGCTTTACAGTAAATGCAGAATAACATGTCATAGTTGCCCATTACCATCAATGCTGCAAGTTACTGTAAAAATTGCAATTCAAAATAACTTCAGGGGCCACTAAAAATTGTCTTGTGGACTGAATTTGGCCCACAGGCCTGAGTTTGACATGGGGTTAGCATTTTTCCACAGTCTCATGGGGACAATACTGTAGCAAGACAAAAAGGAAAATGTTGGTAATATTCAGTAAAACTGATATTTTGGATTTGTTTTAGATTCTGTGGAAAATGGCAGGAAAATAGAAAATAATGTCTGTGTGTAAACTTTTGAGCACAAGTGTAACGGTCATGAGCTGTTATATCGACGGCGAGAGGCAAAGTAAAATAAACATTGTGTGCATAAACAAATGAGTTCTTTGAAAAGTTGTCGACCTCCTTCTCAAATCTTATAAGACTTTTCTAAACGTACAGAGATGATTTCAGGCAGGACTGATGCGTTGCTTGTGTCATCATGGGCAGCATATTGTAGCCTATGTACAAATGTCACTTCTATTTTAAAGAGTTCAACACACTCTGAAACTACTAGAATTCCCAGAGCCGTCGTTTTGACTGCTCCCATTCAAATCTGTGGAATTCTGAGAAATTCCCACAAAAAATGTAGGAATTAGGGTTCGTTTTTTGACAGATTTAGTTTTAATATAAGAATATTTCATTTTTTCCCAGTCCAGTCCAGTCCAGGTTCAGTCCAGATCCAGTCCAGGTCCAGTCCAGGTCCAGTCCAGTCCAGGTTTAGTCCAGATCCAGTCCAGGCCCTGTCTAGAATCAGTCCAGGTCCATCTTCCAGATCCAGTCCAGGTCCAGTCATGCACCTGTCCAACTCTAGTCCAGATCCAGTTCAGGTTAAGTCCAGAACAAATCCAGGTCCAGTCCAGAACCAGTCGTGTCTATGTCCAGTCCAGTCCAATCCAGGTTACTGTAAGTGCAGGACCAGGCCAGAAGCAGTCCAGGTCAAGTCCAGAACCAGTCCAAGTCTAGTCCACGTTGAGTCCATGTCTAGTTCAGGTCCAGTCCAGAACCAGCACCATGAAAACGGGCCTTTAACTACCATTTAGTTGGTTACCAAGAAACCAAAAACCTCTACATTTAAAGTTAGAGTTTGAAGGTTGAACTCCTCACATTTTTCCATAAAAATAATGAAGTAGAATAAAAGTACAAACAGAAACAGTCACAAAGTTAGCTGCTCTGGGATTTCTAATGATAATGAACTTTATTATTGACTAAAAACGTTCTCAAATGTTGTTATTTTGACTTGTTAATGTCCTGTAAATTACCAACGTGAGCAGAATATAAAGTGGTGTAACTGGGCTTAACGTGCTTCAGGTCAAATCCTGTTTTGATGTGACTTCTAATAAAATCTGGAAAATGTCCTTGTCTGCTAGTTAATGGTTCTGGCCAAGTGTTTTTTGATTGGTTCTGACCACGTTTTGACCGCTGTCGAGTCTCCATCGAGGACCCCAGGAGGTTGTTGAAATGCATTGCTGTGGATTTTATGTTTTTTTTTTAATATTTTTTACTTATTTTCTCTATGTTTTAATTTGACTTCCTATTCCCCTGTGTTGATTGTCTGCCCCACCCTCTCCCCTTGCTGCTGGTCCATTCTATTGTCAGCGTCTGCCCTAGATTGTTCCTGGTTCCTGTGGTTAGTTTGGCTTTTGGTATTTTTTGACTTGTATATTTTAAATATGTTACTTTTATCTGTGCAGCACTGTGGAAACGTGTTACAAAATGTGTTAAAGTGGATTGGATTGGACCCATAACAAGGCTCAAAAATACTCAAAAACCAAGTCGGAAAATGCAAAAACCTTCTCTGAGGATGTTACAAAGTTGCAGATTCGCCGACATTCGAACAACAGAAACCTCGGAATGAGAGAGAGATCCACTCCCACGGACGGACAGGGTAAAAGATCCAGGAGTCAGGCTGTAGAACGAGGACAGAGGCTAAGATAAGGCTCACAGTTTTGTTGGACACAAACACACAAGACACACACAGCATCAGGACAACGCACAATTACAACCCAAGAAGCACAGTCCACGGTGCAAGCATACAAAAGAGTATATTTGTTAAAGACCCCAGATTAAAAAAACATGAAGTGCTAGTGCATTGACTGCCTTGACGCATTTATCTGAGACTGATTTCTGTCAAATTTCCCTCTATTTGACTGGGGATTACAGGACAACCATAAAAGCTAGAAACAAACTTAATTTTGCTGATGAAAATAGACAATCCAGTCTTTCAGAATATGGTTTCATATTTCACATAGACATAGCACATAATATTCTGTGGGTCTTGAGAATCAGTTAAATCATAA